TTCACTAGTGTGAGATTTGTTGAGCATCTAAATTTAGATGTGTCACCCCCCTCGTGGAAAATGAGCAATTATAGCAGAGTGGTATTTTGGTGGCCTTTTAGCTGTTCCACAGTTGACTTTCGATGGAGTCGCAAGCCCTATTTTGGAACCATTGGTTACAATTTATGTGATAAATAGTTAAAATCCAATAAAAAAGACATACTAATCCGATATGATTGACGATACACCCTAGATATTACCACAAACGAAGTGACAGACGGAGCGGCTCGAAAACTTTGGTGACCTCGTTGGTAACTAACCTGCTATTGCAATTTTTCAGACCACATGGCAACACTACTACTGGATTGAACCACATGGCAACACTAAATGTACTAGAATGTTTGGTTCTATCTCTTTCACTCTACTTAAAGCTGAAATGCCTAAAAAATTACAAAATAATACCACCGGTGGAAACTAACGATTTTAAATTAGCTCACTATTTGACTAGCCTATTGGTCCCAAGCAAATTGATTAACGTATCCCATTATAGTCGAAATGCTATGTTTGTTTTGATTCGCTATGAATGAGGGGTTCGTGGATTTTCCTATAGAGTTCTCTACCACCGTTAGTATTAGCAACAATCAATACGAAACTAACGATTTTAAATTGGCTCACCACTTTAGTAGCCTATTGGTCCCAAGCAAACGATTAACGTACCCTATTCTAGTCGAAATTCTAGTACTACGCAATGTTTGTTTTGATTCGCTATGAAAGTTAGACAGATAAAATGAGGGGTTATTGGTTTTTCCTATGTTTCGAGGGGTGAATCGATTAGTTTGGGACCGAAGAGAGTACCAGAGCTGAGCCAAAAAGTTGAGCACGTTATTTCGGGACCTTCTAGTCTTAGAGGTACCTCTATGGTATTAGTGAGCAGTTTCACAAATATGTACATGCGTTTTACTGGTTGAAAATAAAAAACAAACTGCTGTCAAGTCGAATAATTTGACAGCTGATTTCGTGGTTGCTACTACGGACCAAATTATCGCGTTTGGCAGGTTCTGCAGAAATGCCGCGAATACAACGTGCCCACACCTAGGGGCACGCAATAACCTTTAACTCCAACGCAGGCAACGGCTGTAATTAAATTAATTCCATTAGCTACTGCTTTAATGCTGCTTTAATCACATACAATTTAGAACATTAACTACTTTTTAACTCTATTAATTACAGTTGAAATTTCGTAATTTTATTTTACATTACATTACATTAATTACATTTTCAATACTTTTAATTACATTAATTAGATAGGATAGGATAATTTTAATTACCGTCAGTACTACTTCAAAACGCATTAATAACTTTAAGTACTTTTGATTGCATTTTAACTCCAACACACCGGTTCTTTGTATTGCGTGCCCCTCGGCCCACACTTCATATTTGTTCATCGATTTCAAATCCGCATACGACACAATCGATCGATATCAGTTATGGCAGATTATGCACGAGTAGGGTCGGGTGGGGCAAGAGTGCCACCTGAACAATTGTACGTTCTATATATGCCAAATAGTGTTATAGTTATAGTAGTTATAATAGAGTTTCTACACCGTATTGCAACTTCATATTATTGCCTTCATACATCAGCAATGTAATGCAAATTTTGTTGTTTAGGGGTATTAAGGTATATGCATATTCGTTAACTGTATTAAAAATGGAACCGAAGTCCAAAATTTCATCAATTTTGGTAAACTGGAACTATTTTAAATAATTACAATTACATTAGCAAAAATAACCATCTTTGCGCCCCTTGGTGGGACTTTGTATGGGAGCGAGCTGTCAACGAATAGATTTAGTGTCAACGATCAAAAATTTAAATCTTGATTTAAAAATCGAGATGAATGTCTACAGGATCGATAAAATATCGTTGTTATTGTTATTGTTATTGTTATTGCTCAGTTCACTCCCTGGCTGGCTGCTGCCTACCGATCTGCACTTAAGCCAGGCATGAACCTACGGAAATTTAGTCGTTGCCTATGCTAGACCGTATAGCATAACGACTTTCCTTTCACTAGCAGACTTTTTGGTCCCACTAGCGTCCGATTAGGGGATAGTAAGAGATTAAAAGAATAAAGAAGAGAGATAGAAAATTTTGTTGTTTTGCTGAAACGAAAAAAAAAAACACTCCGGCTTGTTTTGTTCCAAGGGGCAACGTCCATCGTCGTCGTACTCAAATACCTGGGAACCTCCAGAGGTGCACAGGGTCAACGTGAAAGACTTCCATTCTGGGCAGCTGCTTGACCTGGGCCCAGGTCAAATTCCTATCGGCTTGCTTAATTTCCTTGATGACGCTCCGCCGCCTTAGTATTTGCCTTTGCTGCGATGTTCTGGCGGATTTAATTTATAATAAAACGCTTGCCTGCAGACTTCGTTTCTATTGCTATCGGCTTCTGATGACATTTACATCTGAGATCCATTTGTGAGGCCACCAGCCACAAGTTATATACTGCAGGCAGCGGTTGATGAGACCTGCGGCTTTTGAAAGTTCTCCACTGGTGCTGCACAGATTCCACGTTTTAATCGAAGGTTCGAATTTTGGTAGGTTGACCAATCTGATTTGATCTCCGCTTTTGTGTAAATGTCATATTATCACCGACCTTATTACCATCGCCTTAGTGTGTGACATCAGGTGTACGCTCCTCTGTGTTTTCGTTACCAATGCAGTTAATTTGACACGTTTGTTGCATTTCCGTATGTCTCAATATTATTCTTGCTGAAACACCGTCAAACCCACTATCCAGAGGCAGCGAACCACCTTAACACCTGAAATTATACAAAAACAAACTAAACCCCCCCCCCTCCCCCTTCCCCGATTGCAACAGCTCTAAGCCATGCAACAGGATCATTTCGTGCCCCATGACAACTTGATCCAGTTGCTTCCAGGTTCATTGTTTTGGCGCCAACCGGGAGATACTTGGTCCTGTACCAAATGCTTTCCTTGTCTCCATTCCGCTCAGCTACTCGCAATTGATTGTGATATAGTGGGCGGAATATTACAAAGTGAGACAATTCAATGCAGACGTCTTCCAAATTTGGCCGATCGTCAGGTAATCAGTGGGTTACCATCTGGCACCTCTTAGCAAGCACTATGCTACGAAGCGGACCAGAAGTTTCAATGAACAACCTCCCCCAGGATCGATAAAATATCGTTGTGCTCAGAAAACGAAGTTCTATCAGATGAGGTTTAAACATCAGTATATTTTTCGAAGTTAAACAACCCATTTATATCCCTTCAAAAGTTGTTTAACTTTTTTTTTTTTTAATCTTTATTTGAGAGATTTTTAGCCGAAGGCTAGTTCATCTCTAAGTTGTTTTATGATTTTTTGAAACTGCAATGGGGCAAGAGTGCCAACCCCTATGGGGCAAAAGGGCTATGCGTCTTAAATTGAATGAAAACGAATTAATGCTTGTTTATAAACATAGCCTTTTGATTATTAATCATGCTAGCAACAGCTGATATTGTTTAACCAATTCAACTATTGAATTTCACAATATTATTCAATGCATAACAAATGAACTATGTTTACCAATGATATCAAATGAAAACTATTGTTGTTGATATTTTAAAGTCTGGATCGCGCAAAAATTGGTCAACTTCAAATTGGTGTATTTCTGTTAAAAATGCATAAAAAACCTGAAATGCTGCATTTGGAAGTTGAGCGTATATACGGTAGAGAACTACTTCGGCCTAATCGCCCATTTTGGGCCTATCGAGCAGAAAACTTCAAATAAATCCATGATTTCAGAGCTAAAAAGTCAATTATGCGTTTGGTGCGATACTTTAGTTAATAAGCTACGGAACGAAGTCAATGAGAACGCATGATATGAAGGTTTGCACCCATTATTCCCAAAAACAAAAGATGCGCTCCGACCAAATCAATTTTCATCTTCATCCGATAGGCCGAAGTGAATTCATTGGCGTTTCAATGAGTTTGGCGTCAAGAAGCAGTGTTAGACTTTTGACAATATCTAAACGATTGGTTTCTCTTTATCAAATATTACGGTACACACGGAAAGGTAAATAAATTTGGAAGCCATCAGCAATAATAACATTCCGTTTGGTGCTAATCTGCGCTAGATTAAGAAAGATTAAGAGCGGGTTATGCTTAATAGGCCGGAAATGGGGTATTTAACCCTACAATGGTTGCTATGATGAGTTTTCACCGTTTGCTCTCCAGTTTTCAAAATGACGTCCAAGCAAGAGGAGCGTGTCAAAATTTTGCTCGCGCAGCAAGAGAATCCGACCTTCTCACACGCCATGTTGGCAAAATTGCTGAATGTGGCCAAATCGACCGTGACTTCTTGGCTTCTTGGATTCACGCATATTCTCGTTTTTGTTTGAACCGTATTTTCCAACCAAAAAATTTTTTTTTCTGTATGGAATGTTTGCCTCCCACCTCGAGTTCAGATTTTCGTGAGAAACATTTTTCAGATTATATTTTATATGGATTGCTGAAATGAATGTAAAAATATCTTTTCCTGAATTTCTATTCGCCAGTCTGTGTTTACTATACCGTCTGTACCTCACCCCCTCAAAAGTGGACGTCATATTTGAATCGCACCATATACGTATTTCTTCAGTAACAGATCTTTACGAAGCAACAACATGTTAGGTTTAAGAGGACCAAATCGAAAGACAGGCAAACTCTAATAAAAGTAACCATAAAAAAGTGCTTTACGGTGTTTTCGGGGCATCATCCAGATTAGTTGTGGAATAATTTTACCATTCGAATTATCATCCGTTCATGGTTTTCGTTTATAGGTGTGGAATAACTCTACCATTTGGATTATCGTTCGGGTATGGTGTACCTCTATTAGGGAAACCTCACACCAATGTGCGAATTCACCTCGAAAAGGATACCAAGCAAACCACAATCTGATTGATCACACACACACACACATATTTTCAAACCTTCCCTTATAGAATTTCTCTAGTAATAATTATGTTTAGCCGTTCCTTTTCCGACAAACTACAGTTCATTATTAATCGTTTCAGTCCGCACTTCCCGCATTAAATTTCAATGTACTCATACAGATACTTCCTTGCCAGTTCCAAATTGTTGTTGCTTCTATAAATACTACTCAGATTGTACGCAATCTCCGCCCGCAAATCCAGATACAATGGGTGCTCCTGAATCAGTGCATTGGTGAACTCCAGCGCCTGTTTGTAGTGACTCACCGCTAAACTGTACATCCCCAGCTGATGATACATCCGGCCGATGTTGTAATGAATTTCATTGCTTAGTTCGCCGGGTCTTTTCTTGCGATACTTCTCCATGAATCCGATTGCCTGGGAGGCCAATGCTTGCTTTTTGCTGGTAAACTTCTGGCACGCAATCTGCGTCAAAGTCACGCCAATCAACATGGCATGAATGGGATCGCCCGTTTTCATGTAGATTTTGCTATAGTCATTCAGGGCGTACTTGTAGGTTCCCGCATTTAGGTGGTAGTTTGCTTGCAGGATTCGAACATTCGGATTCACGGGAGATCGTCCGAATAGACGCATGAGATAACGATTGTAGCGAATGTCCCCCGTCACCAGGATGACCAAGTTAAAAAGATTCCACAGACGGGGGTTATTGAGATCCTTTTCCTTGTTGACACGTTCTCGGATTAGATTGTACGCATACATAGGATCACGATTAAACAGGCAACCAAGGAGAGCGAGACATTGAAGCTCATGTCGGTAAAATTGAAACCGCTTGGCGGTGCACAGAGTGAATACAAGCTTCTGGAAGAAGGCATAATCTTTGATGAAGTCTGCTACTTGAAGTAAGTTGAGAACCAGTTCCCATTCCATCTCTACGGATGGCTCGTTCTCCGAGCGTGAAAACTCCGGCCTGTGCTCCTCTGTCGTATCCTGTCGGGAAACCTTTATGTCAGCGATGGTTTTCAGCATTTCACAGAACCGTGGAACCGAAATGGCAGCGCCCAGTTCGAGCCGACTTCTCAGTGGAACGCAATGGCGCATCAGTAGCATGAAACCGGTCGAGAGGAATTCGTCGAATCGGCCTATCTCCTTCAGCATGAGGCAACGCTCGTACAGCAGTTCGGCATCCATGATTTCGCTTTCCGGATCTTGTTCAAGCGCTTTTAGGGCCTCGTCGTAATTACCCTGCTGTTTGAGCAATGCCGACAGAGTTAGGCGAGCGTCTAGATGTTGAGCCAAGGAAACTACCTGTGAAATGGACAAAGTTACAGATATAATCAAATCACAGTTATTCTCTTCGTACTTTACCTTCTTGTAAGCCATAATAGCCTCGTTATAATCTCCAATAGCGCGCAAACAATCCGCATACCGTAACCAAACCGCTGCTAGTGAGAAGTTTTCACTTTTAATCAACGGAACCAGCAACTTCAGTGCATAATGATAATGCAACTCTTTCATCAACGATTCAGCGACATCCAAATAGCAGTCTCCAGCTTCCTCCACATTGATATTCGAGAAGATATTGTCCACAATCATATCGAACAGGTGCTCGCATTTCAGGTGCACCAGAACGACTGCCAGCTTCGTTCGAAAATCCAACACCATGTCTTCCGGTATGACCACGGTGTAGATGGTGCTGCTACCGCTGGGATCGGCTTCTTCGCCATCATCGCCGACCATCTCATGCACTTCAACGTTTGTGTGAGCCATCAGAACATCCAGCGCCTTTCTATAGTGCCCTGTCGTAATCAACAGTTCCAAAAAAAGATTTATATCTTCCACAGTGAACAGTTCCGAAACTGTCCCATAAGCACGGTCCATGGCCTCCATGGCCGCTGGTATGTTATTTTCCTCGTGAAACTTCTTCGCCAACCTTTTAGCCGTTTCCACCAGAAACTCTCCACGCTCCTTCGGAATATACGGCAACATTGCAAAGTAGCACTTGAATGCTTGCTTCTCTTCGCCCTTTTTCTCCAGCAGCTGCACTCGCTTCATTCGCAAATCGAAGTTCTTCGGGTCGGACTTGATCGCCCGTGCGTAGCACATCAAAGCCTGACTTAAGTTCCCATGCTCCTCCGATATCTCCGCAATCCGTACCCACTGTTCCACATCCGACGGATTCAAATGCGCCGCAATCAACGAAAACTGCAAATATTTTTCTGGATCTTCCGTTTCGTAAATTTGCGCCAATGTGACAAACGGCTCATGAGCAAGCGGCATCTGTCGCACAATCTCCAGACATAACTTTTTAGCCATCTCCGACTCTCCCCTAGCGTAACACAAATTTGCCTGCCCCATCAAACCCTGCAACGCGGGAGGCAGAAATCGTCGGTGTCGTTTCATAGACGTCTTTCCATCCACCTTAACCTGCGTCGGTCCTTGCAAATTACCCCTCAAAGCATCCTTCCGTTGGACGCTCAGATCCTTTTCGAACCTCGTCGACTTTCTTGAACTTTTTCTCCGCGCAGCCAACTCTTCATCCTCCAGCTCCATTTCTCCTGATGGTTGCATTCGTGCCTGGTACTCGGTGTAGCTAATCTCACCGGCAACGAACTTTTTAATCCACACCTCGTTCTGCTGAGGACTCTCGTCGTCCGTTTCCGACTCCGAAGGGGCTGAAGAATTGGAAGCAACGGTGGATGACCGCAACCGACGTCCGGGAGGCATTATGATGGATGCGCCCGGCTCGCCCGGTAGCGAAATCGAACTTGTCTCGACGAACTGCGACAACTCCTGCGGATCCAGCTGCATTTCGTCGATTTCCTCCACAACGACGCTGTCCGCTTCCGATGGTTCTGCAGACGACATTTTCCAGCGAGTTGAAATAACTTTTTTAAGGAAATAATTTGAATTGTTCAGATACGGTCTGGAGCAGAAAGAAACAAACACTGTTTAGTTTTGTTTTGGTTTGAGCCGTTCAAATATTACGTAACGTGGAAGGGGCCGGGGGTTGCTGATATTTGCTTACAAATTGGAACTCAAAATTTAAGGGGAGGGGGTTCTGTAGGAGTTGTTGTTACGGGTAACTTAGATAAAAAATAAAACAAATTAATGTTATTTTAAAAGTACATTAGTTATTTAAAAAGCTGAGAAGTTAATCAACTCAAAACACTTTTGCATGCAGACACTAGCAAAATGAAATTGTTTTTTTTTTTCAAGAACATTGCATTGTTGTGCTTAAGGGCTAGGGTGGTGGAGAGGGTGGTGAATGCAACGTTGGTATAAGGGAGGGGGATATGTTAAAATACTTAATTTTCGGTACGTAATATTTGACCGGACCCTTTGCTTTGTTTTGACATTTTAAAACTTTAATGCGAGCTTTCATGCATCCTTGCTTGCAAGTTATTTATTGTCGGAGTTTTGTGCCCATTGGTTTTCACACCACAAAAAGCACGTAGCAGAGTACCCATTAATAGTACGTTCAGACTACAGAGTTATAACATGTTATAGCGCTATCTTGATGGTGGTTTCTGTGTTGAAATTATTTGAGAACCGTTATAACATGTTATAACTCTCCAGTCTGGACAGCGTTTAAGGCTCTGAACCATTTGGTGGATTATTTTAACTTTTGGTTAAAATTTTACAGATGGAAAGTTATCGATTAACCCTGCTATCCGAGCGTGGTTACTTCTGACAGACAAGAAGTTAAATTTTGACAACCTTGGCGAAGTTCTTCTCGAAAACCGATCGATCAACAGCACAGGGATTTTCGAACATAGAAAACAACTTTCGAAATGTCACTTTTAACCACGAGTTAAATTTAACTCGGCAAATGGTTCACAGCCTAAGTGAATATCTTGTACTCATTTTTTGAACTGGTTCTAAAATGTCAAAAAAATTGATATTGATAAATGGGTACATTTTCCCCTTTTTCTAAGCATGTTTTAGAATAAAAATGAGGAAAAATTATTCATTGCTGTTTCAGTGCGAACCCGCATAAATGCGAACCATTACTTGACCTTGCCAAAAAAGGTTAAAAATTGTTTATAATCCTTGCTTGAAATGGTTATGGAACTTAACATAAACGTTTGGGTGAAAAAGTTTGAACCTTGTGTATAAAGGATTTTTGGAAGTTAATGTATAATGTATAAAGGTTTTTTTGGAACCATTACCATTAAAAATAGTTGTTTTCTCCATATATTTTCGGGAAGGAATTATATTGGAACCATTTTAATTGTGATTTGAGAACTTTGATGGTAATGGTTATGGTAGTCGGTAAGGTTCATAGATGGTTTTGTAACATCCATCAACTTTATGTGGAATATATCACGAATTGGTTGCATGCAAATTACAGATTACCAATTCACGATATATTCCACGTAAAGTTGACCGATCATACAAAACCATTAATGGACCTTACTGGCTACCATAACCAATACCATTAAAGTTCTCAAACCATGAGTAAAAAGGTTCCAATATAGTCCTTGTGGTGAGTAGTATCAACAATCAATACGAAACTAACGATTTTAAATTGGCTCACCACTTTAGTAGCCTATTGGTCCCAAGCAAACGATTAACGTACCCTATTCTAGTTGAAATTCTATTACTACACTATGTTTGTTTTGATTCGCTATGAAAGTTTGACAGATAACATCAGGGGTGTGTGGATTCATGCAGAACATGCAGGGGTGAGTGAAATAGCTTGGGACTGCTTGGGAGCGTTGTTCTGGTACTGAAAGAGCCAAAAATAATAATGATTTTCTTCGGGACCCAGTGGTCGTAGAGTTACCTCTATGCTAATATTATGTAATATAACATATAATTACTATGCGATATTAAATCTCGCAACACTGCCAAGTTTTTCGCTCTGATGCGGATCGACCTGACATTTGAGACGACGAACCGCCATTTTTATTCCAGTCCTCGGTCCAGTGCCTCATCATCCAGCCCAGTCCAGCATATTCTCAAGGTAAGGCGAACAATTTTCTCTTTAACAGACTGGCAGTGGTAAAACGTTGGCATTTGTGAATCCGGCTATGGAGTTGATTCACAAGTTGCAATCTAGGTTGCAATTTAAACCACGGAACGGAATGGGATTGATTCCTACCCGGGAACTGGCGATGCAAATTTTCGGAGTGCTGAAGGAGCTGATGGCACATCAACGTCATGCATACGAGTTTTTGATGGAATGTGCCAGTCGGCATACGGAGAATGAAAAGTTGGGCAAAGGGTTTAACATTGTGGTGACTACGCCGGGTCGTCTGCTGGATCATTTGAAGGGGACGCTGAATTTCCTGTTCATAATCTTGAAAATTGGATTCGAGGAGGATATGAAGCCGGGGTGTTGGGGTGGACGATCCATTTTTACGGAAAGCTGATGTAAGGCGGCATATAAATAAAACGATGTGAATAGCAAATAGCAATAAACAAAAAAAAACCCAACGCACGATAGCAAACAGTCGAATGGCAAAGTGCACTCCAGGTTGCATCCATTGCTTGGTCCTTCTTCCCGGGTGGCACGTTGCCATAAGTTTTCCTACTGCTGTGCTCTGAAAGCCAGTGCTCCGAGCTGCGGTCGTATTAGCTCCAAATTATCCTCCCGCTGGTTGGAGGTTTTTACTTAAACAATGAGATTGTTATTAAATTTTGCTCAGCAGGTGAGTAACTTTGAACGCGTCGTGTACATCGTTTTGCCATTACATCCAATTGTGTACATCGCTTCTTGTACGTCAAATTTATTACATCGGAAAAATTACATCGGTTTTGTGTACTGTACACACAAAGAATTATCGTTAATAAAATTAAAAAAACCATTGGTAGAATTAAAAGTTTGCATTGGTTCTTTTTGGTAGAAAGTCGTTAGCATTCAAAACAAAAGTCAAAGAATTATCAAATCAAAATTTGTCTGATCACTGTTTTTAAAAGTTGAAACTTTCGAAATAAATTGTCCTACTGTCAAAAGAAAAGCTCGACTGGATTGAAATAAAAAGTGGATTTTTTATATTTAAAACATGCATTTGGGTTTGAAAGTTTTATATGGATGAAATAAAATGGGTAATTTTTAATTTGAAATAATAAAAATTCAGATAAAAAACAAGCAATTTTAATATTATAACGCCTACTTTTCATTTTAAATTCTATAAAATATTGATACAATATTTTTTTTTATTTCGGTTTATTTTTTTATAATTTGAATGATATGATTTTGTGTATCCCATTTGCTGGTAATATTAGAGGAAGTACTCCAGGTCCAAGTGAAATACAACATGACGCTTCGTAACAAACGGTTATGCTGGATCTAATAGAAATTTGCTATCGGTCTTGGCAGGTTTCGTTGAGTTTATGGTTCTTATGCGAGGTTTATCACCATGACTAATCATAGTCCACGGGCGTTGCATGTTTGTCAAGCTGCGCACCGGACGTTACTAATAGTATTGTCTGGTCCTCAGATTCTCGCTCTGGATGATACACCAGATCGGCTAGAGGAAAGCTTTACAGGTAAAGCCACCGTCAATGGCATCCATAGTGACTTCGATGGTGTTAACACCGAAAATACTGCAAATTGCTTCGTATTTTTCAGGAACTATTCTAGATCTGCAACAAATGTCCACCTTTAATTAATCCACCTTTAAAACCAGAAAGAAACTTACCTTGTAACTCCAGTTGCACAGGTCACTATTGGCCAAACCAGATTCCATCGCTTCCGCATTCTCGTACTCGATTGACCACTGAACCTGCGAATACATTTTAAATAAATTATAAGTAAATAGAAAAACATCAACTTTTTATTTGGAATGTAAGCTTGGAAATCGAGCCAACTGAATTTGTTTTCCCGGGCAAATGTTTTTTTATATTCACGTGTGATGTGGTTCACGAAAAAACGAAACAACCCAACATTTATCAATGGTATTTTTGACTGTTAAACAATTTTTATTTTGACAATATGCCTTTTTAAAATGACGAGTAGAAAGTGAAAGAAAATCTTTTAAAATAAAAATGTTGGTTGCATTTTAAATATTGTCGTAGTTGAAACTACAAAAGTTGGGAGACTTTTAATTTGAAAATACATTATTTTTAAACAAACAATTTTTATTTTTTGTGTGATCAAAGGCCCTCGAGTACATTGCTACACAACCGATGGATTGACCTATGTGCAGCTGTTTCGATGTAATATTCAACAACTTTTTTTGCTGTGCACGATGCAGAAAAGATTGTGTTTTGCTGTGGCTAGCTGCACGCACGCTGAGTAGATAGAAGAAAGATTTATGTCGATTTTGAAGAATTCCTGCAAAAAGATGAAGCACGATGCAAGTAGATGCGAGAAATGAAAGATGATTTTTCGAAGATTGATTCGCTACACAGCAAAAAGAAATGTAATATCGATCAACGTAATTCAAGATGATGTAAGAAAAAATGATGTAATAGCAAAAAGCAGATACAATATTACATCAATGGATGTAATTTTGTTCGCAAAATTGATGTACATCGTACAATGTGATATTACACAACCGATGGATTGATCTGGTTGCAGCAGTTTCGATGTAATATTCAACAACTTTTTTTGCTGTGTAGTGTGAGATTTTTTGAGCATCTAGAATTGTCGCCCCCCTCGAATTAAAGCCATTGTTTACGTTTGGCTGTTCCGCCTATTTCAATTGTTGGTCTAGTTATAATCTTGCCCCATGTTTCCCTATTTGCGACAACCCCATTGGGCAAACTAAACTCCGACATTTTCCTTCGGAGTAAAAAGAAAAAATCGCTTGAAACACCTGTCAAAAATCATTCTCGTCTTCGGCAGACCGCAAGTGTGACTCGGATTTCGTTTTTCGACTGGAATTTTTTGGTAAACCGGTGCATTTTCGGGGAAAAATCTTTCGCGGCGGTGCGTTTTGTCTATTTTTCGACTATAACTGGCGGTGATCATAGGTTCGGTAGTTTCGGGACGATACGGAGAACACATGTCACGGTGTAGAACGCTCGAAACCTGTGTAAAGACCGAAACGAGAATTTCCCCTTCACTGGTGTTGGGGTGGTGACAGAAACGTAAAAAAAAAGATCCAAATTTATTTCGCTGCAGAGGTGATTCCCATCCGAAGTGGAAGTGGGAGTGGTGACACAACGGTTGATAAAGTTTATCGAAGCTAAACAAGTGCACAACGGAGAAGATACATAAATACTAGTTGGTTGTAGGTCTTGCCAATGTTTTAAGGAGAGTGAAATTTTACGTTTCTCTTTTGGTGGCCAGACGTACGCGCTTTAATTTGTGTTAAGCGTAGTTAACTATCGCTATCAGTTTCTATCTGTGCGCAGTTTAAGTGAATTTTTTTAAGAACTTGCTGAGCACGGATTTGAACAACCATACGTAAGTACCAGCACTATGTTTACCCTTGATTTAGCAATTAGACACCTATTCATTATAGTTTGTTAACTGCTGACAATAAGGTGTAAAAGCACTTGTACTCTATCACATAACATATGTGGAACTTCATGCAAAATAACTGACTAAAAGCAAATAACTCTATCTAGTTTCGACATGTACATTTCTCTAATGTATTTTCCTTAACCTGCTAAAAGGTTCTACCAGCAGGGCCGTAGACTAAATAAATCACAATTACAATTTGTTTTTGTATGCATTCGAAGTAGATATGCAGGCGGCGCTTGTCCGGATAATTAGACGCGTTAGAGTAAGTTCACATTACCAAGCTGTGCATCATGAACTCAAAAAACGTCGTCATTCTCTTATCTGAATTAGTCATCGTGTGGTACCTACAGCATGTTGGAATCTCCAATTTGCAGCGAGTGCTTATCATTGAGTATTTATCAAAAACGCGCGACCGTGAATAAGATAGAGCATTGTTGAAATCATTGTCAAAGGGTACTCTACTCTCGTAGATGGATGTCGAACCGTTACACACCGACTTATTGGCTGCTACTTTCAATAGAATTGAAACTCCAACCTATGGGATGGACAACCAACGTCAGGCGCGTCCAATTATTATTTCACTATTTTGCTTGTATCAACTTCGATCCCTACCACGCGACCTCTAAATTTATTGCGGGAGAAAGTAGAAGCAAATACAGTGATAGACGATGCCAGTCAATGTTTATGCATGCAACACAGACCGTATGGATTCTTGCTCAACCTACCTTATTTTCGCTGCCAATATTCTTGCGTAAAGTGATGTAAATGCCATCATGGTCAATTTTCTCTTTTCACCATAATCAAGTGCTGCATTCTTTATAACACCCAAAATCATTCCACACTTGCTCAAACTTTGATTTGGAAGCATACAGATAAGTGACGGAGAAACAGTCGACCCATAGATTACACTCCTCCAGGACGGAACTTGCCGTCCTGGTGATTGATCTAACGAAAGAGAGTTTCATATATGGCTTCCATTGGTACCGAACTCCGTTGAAAATTTACTCCAAATACCCTTGAAAGAATCTCTCGCTGTATTCATGAAATTCTCTTTGGAAAGCTCTTGAACTTTTCTTAGAATTACCATTGTACATTTCTTGAGGATCTAATCAAATTCTGAAAATTACAAGGAAATTTGGAAATATGCTCAAAATTGCCGGTGAATTCTTCTTAGGAATTGGAATTATTTTCCTATTAGCTTGAAATTCTGCAAAGCAGGTTTGTGTGCTTTTGTTTGGAAGTATTTTCTCTTGGAATTATTATCGATATTCCCTTGGAGCTCTCCTCAGAAATCTCTTTGAAAGTTTGATTGAGATTTAAGTTTTTTTGCTTTATTAGAGAGATTTTCAGTTTTGGGCAGGTTCATCTCCTAAAAGCTAGGGGTGGGGACTTCAGACGGGAGTCCCCCTAATTACAGAGCTAATAGGAAGGGGAGGTGAGGTTCCAGAAGAGAACCCCGAGGATACGGAGTTAGGAGATGGGCGGGAGCTCCAGAAGGGAGTCCCCATAATAACAAAGTTTTAATATTTCAGAGTTGGGAATTTTCCTTTAATGCTACCGATGTTACTGTCCTTTTGAATAATCGTGGTCAAGTTCCGTGTCCTGTTCCTTTGTAGTCGCTGTGTTTAATTTTAGTGCCGTCATTCGTCCATTTCCGTGTCCTTGTACGTGCTTTGCTTGGTTCAATATCTTCGTTCATCCGTGTCCGAGTCAGTATTTGTTGCCGAGGTATAGTTTTGAGTCCGGATCATTGTCCGTTGTCGTTGCTTGGGTGTTCATAGATCAAATTTGTTCTATAGACCTAGCCCTGCCTCCTTAAGGAAGCAGAAAAGTGCAGCGATGCTGGATGAGTCATCTCTCAGGGTATCCCTGATGCTACCTGAGGTCCCGTAAAGGGAACGGGGTCCGTGGTACTGGGGGCATTCACTGTAAGTGGAACATTGCACGTATCGCACTGTCGTCTGCATCTGCACACTAAGATTTTTTTACAGGAGTCAGTATTTTTTTACTGGGTTTTTGAATTGCTGAAAAAGTCGGTAAAAATTCAAATGACCGTTATCCGTAAGGAATCAATGAAATTGATCAATTTTATTTTCTATCATTAAATGGGGCTAACAGAACTAAGTATGCGCAAGTTCAGAACAAATTTTCTCATTAATAAATTTTCCACAGATTTTTAAACTTTTACCAAACAGTTCCGCAATTCAAAAACTCGGTAAAACCGTACTGACTCGATTAGTGTGTGCCTCCCATGTTGTGGGAGACTTTGGTATGGCCGGTTCTCAACCGGGATAGAATGACTTGAAGTCGGTGTTCAGGTGGATCCTTCCATTTCCTGGTATCCCCTTTTACCTTCCGGATAAATAAGTCTCGAGATCGTATCCATTCGTTAGTCCAGCAGTTCCATGTAGTGATTGTGATCCACCGCTTTATGTCCTGGGCCGGGGCCTTTCTGGTGTAAAAGTTGGACTGTTTTCCGGATGCCGCCGGCTTCCTCATTACCTCTGATCCCACAGTGTCCGGAGACCCAGACAAAGGTTGTTCCCTTAGGAGCGATCTGCTGGATACCCTGGATCCAGGGATGTTTAGCTGTTTCAGACTGAAGAGCTGCTAAAACACTGGCAGAGTCGGAGAATATGACGATCGGTTTGTTCGAGGGTAGGGTGACAGCTACGAGAATGGCGGCTGCTTCAGCAGTGAAAACGCTGTATGGGTGTGGTAGTCGGTAGAAGGTGCACAGCTCCGGATAGGAAATTCCAATACCAACTCTACTGCCAGCTCTTTTTCACCTCATTAAAGTGGCCGACAAAGTTTAGATGCCTATCGAGTCGTAGGCCGAGGATGCGGATAAACCTCTTGAAGGGCATGATTCTTTCATCAATGGTTCAGTCTCCTCCGGGAAACATCTGGATCTATGGTTGCCCATACATACTTGAAAAGTACGATGTTGGAGAAAATTTTTCAGAAAATGGATAATGTGGCCGGACAGACCCCATTGCGCAAGTTGGACAAGGATGTCAGGCGTCCATGTCCGATTGTATGCCTTGGCGATGTCTAAAGTTGCTAGCTCCACGTGCTGGTCGGCATCCCTCGCGTTTCGAAGTACCTGATTAAGTGTGGCGAAATAGGTCCCAGTGCCATGTCAGGGACGGAAGACGTGCTGGCGATGGTCAATGTAGCCGTTACTCTCCAAGTAGAGCACGAGTCTACGATTGACCATCCGCACCTCCAGCACCTTGCTGACACAGCATGTCAAAGAGATTGGTCTGAAGTCCTTTGGCTCGCGACTCGCAGCTCCCTGCTTAGGAATTGGGACAACTAGACTGTGTCTCCATTCTTCCGGAATAGTATTTCCTAGCCACTCGCTGTTGAGGTGGCTGAGAAGGGTACGTTTGCTTTCCAGTGGCAGATTTTTTAACAGAGGGTATCCCACTTCATCCGGGCCAGCTGATTTGCCGTGAGCCTTGAACAAGGCTAAGTCAAGCTCTCTTGGTCCGAAAGGTTGGTTAATTTCCAGTGGTAGATCGTCCTCCGGGATGTGGAAATTATCCAGCGAATGCGTTGTCGCATTTTTTGTGCGACGGAAATGGTCATCATATCCTTCAAGAGCCGAAAGAGTTGCAAAGTACTCCCCCATAGCATGTGCAATTTTGTCGGGGCCTCTGGTTATTAAACCGTCTATTCGAATAGCCATGCCACGGTACTTTCGCTTACCGCTCAACGGATTGGCTTTACCCCATAGGTCAGAAGCCGTCTGTCCAGCGTTAATACCGTCGAGGAAATTCTCCCAGCTCAAGCTTTTGGCGGTACGGATGGTCTGTCTACACTCGTTCCGTTTAGTTCTGTATGCAATTTGTGCCGCTTCCTTCAAGGGGTTGTCCGCGGGCAGTCGTTTAGCTGCCCTTAAAGCCTTCCTTCTGGCCTTAACAGCAGCTTTTGTCTCAGGAGATCACCATGGTAACGACCTGGTTCCCGGGTTGGGACTTGTCCGCGGGATTGATGTGGTTGCCACTTGGTAGACAGAGCTGATGAAATCCTGGATATTGTCCAACTCATACTTCCAACGTGGTCTACGTGAGATGTCTTGTGGCTGGTCGTCAAGTCGAATTACCACCGGGTGATGATCACTACCCATGGGATCTTCCTCGTTGCTCCAGAGGAGTCTGCTGATTATGTTGGCGCTAGCAAGGGGCACATCTATAGTTGTTGCTCTCTGACCACTGGTATATGTGGTGCCTCCATCATTGAGAACGACAAGATCCAGTTTTCTGGCCACTTCCATCAGAGTGGAGCCTCTGGTATTTGCAATTGGGCTGCCCCAAACGGGATGGTGGCCGTTCATGTCCCCTAGTATGACATTTAAGTGATTTTCTGCAGGTAGTGTCAGGATTGTCAGATGATGTGTGTAATACGATATCACCACCGGTATCGACTTCTTTTTGTTTGCTTATTGTAAACATATATAAATGTACAAATTTTAGGTTGATTGCGATTATAAAGGGCGAACACGAAATTATTGCGACACATTCAACAGGGCATAACTTTTTTACCATTTGGTAAAAATCAACCAAATTTTGCACACTTTCTCATTGATGTGTATTGTGTACATGCTGTCAAACTCGAAGTCGTGTTTTTCGATTCAACGAAAATGGAGGTGAACCAACGCAAGTTGAGAGAACAAATTGTTTCCAAACACCTGGAATTTCCTGACCTGTCGCACCGGCAGTTGGGAAAAATGTTGAACATTCACCATTCAACCGTCTCCAGAGTGTTGAAGCGGTTCCAGGAGCGGTTGACGTTGGACCACGGCAAAGGAGCTGGAAGAAAATCGGGCCGGAGAACAAAAAGACGGAGGGAAAGGTGAAGCGGATGATTAAAGCAAATCCCAACGTCTCAAGCCGTGATTTGGCTAAAAAGATCGGCATGTCGCAGAGCTACGTCCAGAATGCAAAGAAGAGAGCTGGACTACATACATACAAGGTACAGAACTTCCCAAGCCGCGATGAGCGGCAACAATCGACGGCTAAAACTCGGGCACGGAAGCTCTACGAGAAGATGCTGATAAAATATGGCTGCTGTGTGATGGACGACGAAACGTATATAAAAGCCGATTTTAAGCAAATTCCGGGGTTGGAGTTTTTCACCGGCAAGAGCAAGTTCGATGTGGACGACAAATTTAAGAAGAAGAAAATGTCGAAGTTCGCCTCCAAATATCTCATTTGGCAGGCCATCTGCTCTTGCGGACTGAGGAGTGAGCCTTTCGTGATAAAGGGCACAGTAAATGGCGAGATCTACAAATCTGAGTGCTTCGAGAAGCGCCTTTTGCCGTTCTTGCAGCAGCACGACGAAGCTCCGCTATTTTGGCCAGATTTGGCATCATGCCACTATTCTAAAAGTGTCCTGGAGTGGTATGAGGCCAATTCTGTCCATTTTGTTCCAAAGGACATGAATCCGCCAAACTGTCCGGAGCTGCGCCCGGTGGAGCAGTACTGGGCAATAATGAAGCGGGAACTTCAGAAGAGCAAGAAGACAGTCAAAGACGAGAAGGACATGTTAAGAAAATGAAAAAAAAACTGAGAAACTGGTACCGGATGACACTGTAAAGACTTTGATGGAGGGCATCAAGCGAAAATGCGCTCAATTTTACACTCAAGGCTCCATCGATTAACTTTTCTTTTGATTTTTGAAGTAAATATATTTATAAAACTACCCTAAAATTTTGGTTTGATTCTAAACATTATAAGAAAATTGGCATGACATTTTCGGTGTCGCAATAATTTCGTGTTCGCCCTTTATAAATAGCATTAAATTAAATAATAATGTATCCATTGTCCAACACCTCGACACTGTGTCCTTCTTTTACCGAAGAATCGTCCGGATGCCAGTTGTCCACCCACTTCAAGGAGAACGACAAGTTGAAACGCAGTTGGATCTTCCAGTAGACTCCCCGTATTAGAACACAACTCCAGATTGGTTCTATTTGTTTGTGTCAAACTGAAGATCGGTTCTTATTTGATCCGATTCGTTAAGTCTTCCATGCTACATCCCACCTGATCCACTAGTGACTATCGCCCTTCTTGCCGGCAGCCGCTGAAAGTCCGTCATCTTCATGGTTGCAATCGGTGATCGGATGAAAGCCAAATTATCGATAATCATAGTCTCATCGCCCGACTGACAGTCCTTCGCAAAAAGCTGAATGTTCCGCACCTTCGGGAACTTGATGAAACGCAGCTGAATCGGCGATCATCTCGATTTCAGATCCTTCTGGTCCACCACCAGATCCACCACCGAAACGCCATATCGCTAGATGGTTAATGATTGGACATTCTTGGGCCCGTGAGATAGGGGTGTGTACTGCTTATCGCATGTTAGGGAGGCCTCGGCCATGCTTGCGTCCAATTCGGTTCAGTGGTTGCCGAGAAACATCAGTCCCATTATTTCGTAACACACACACGAAGTCATTTTCCGATACCGTCGAGCTGAGTTGGCTCGGCCCTCGAGCTCTCGGATCCAATGTCAGTTTTTCAAGCGATATGTAAACCACCTTCTCTCTGAAAGTAGGGTAAAACATGCGTTCTGTGATACTCAGGCTACTGATATAGTTTATGAATAATGCTATACAACCATGATTTGAGAGATTTGCTATTACTGAAAGGTTTCACTTTGCTCAGATTTCCAGATTCACTCCTAATCGATAACCAGAACAAAAAGCCAGCCCCCCCTCCCCATCTAGCATTGACCTTTATCCCGTTTGGAATTCCGTAGCAGCCATTGACTTGGTTTGTCTTCTACCCCGATCACCGTGGACTGGAAGATGGTAACGACGCCGTTCATTATAAATGAAATTTACGACATCATACAGAAGGTAATGCAAATAAACGATAGTTGATAGACGACCGTCACACCACGTTACAATGGTTGTTCGTTTTCTTTCAGTCCACGGCTTTCGAGCTGACACTGGAAGCCCTGCTGGCACTTGGCGTCATTTGGATAGTGCTGTACAAAGCCAACGGGAAACGAGCAAAGCGTCTTTCGGCGGAACAGAAGGCAAAGCTAATAGAAGAATGGATGCCGGAGCCGTTGGTGGGAAAGGTTCCGGATAATCATCCGGCATTGCACACCCACGTCGTAATCGGAAAGGTCGGCAAGGTCATCAACATCGATGGGAAGCAGTGCCTCAATCTGGCCTCGCAGAACTATTTGGGACTGCTGGAGGATGAAAACATCCAGGAAGCGGCTATCAAGAGCTTGCGAAAGTATGGTGTTGGATCGTGTGGCCCACGTGGCTTCTATGGGACGTTAGATGTCCACCTGGATCTGGAGGAACGGTTGGCAAAGTTTATGGAAGTTGAGGAAGCTGTGGTATACTCGTATGCGTTTTCCACCATTGCCAGTGCCATTCCGGCATACGCCAAGCGAGGGGATATCATTTTTGTGTAAGTTTTGGAAGACCTTTGGTTATGTTAGATATTTCAGTTTGTAAGAATTTTATACTTTTTAGGGACGAATATGCCAACTTTTCCATCCAGAAAGGAATAGATGCATCTCGCAGTAGAACCGTTTTCTACAAGCACAACGATATGGCCGACTTGGAGCGGCTGCTGAAGGAGCAAGCCGTTGAAGATAAACGAAATCCAAAGAAGGCCGCCAGAACTAGACGTTTCCTGGTAGCTGAGGCCATCTACATGAATACCGGAGAAATCTGTCCACTGCCTCAGCTGGTAGAGCTGCGCAAACGCTACAAACTGCGCATGTTCCTGGATGAGAGCATATCGTTCGGTGTTCTGGGACTAAACGGTCGTGGAGCGATTGAGCATTTCAATGTCGATGTGAGTTACATTTTTACTAAATGTCGAAAGTTGTTGATAGTTGTTGGTTTATTGATAGAAAATCGAAGTCGATCTGCGTTCAGCCGGTCTGGAGTGGGCCGCCGGAACTATTGGTGGTTTCTGTGCTGGATCATCGTTCATTGTCGAACATCAACGCCTGTCCGGACTGGGCTACTGTTTTTCCGCTTCGCTTCCACCGCTGCTAGCCCAAGCTGCCATCAGCGCCCTCGACAGATTCGAGAGTGAACCAAAGATTTTCGCCGAACTGAGAAGTTGTTGCCAGAAAGTTTCACAGTATGTGCCACAAGACATTCGACTGAAAATAGATTTTATAAGCACAATGATTTTGCTTTCAGAAAATTACCGTCCCTCACGGACTTTACCTTCCGAGGAGATCCCCTGTCGCCAGTAAAACATCTGTACCTGAAAAATGAGTCAGATCCAGTTGCGGAGAAACGACTCCTAGACAGGATCTCCCAAGAGGTAGGGAACATCTGAGAACAGCCCATACTTTTTAAGAAACGCTCAGAGATTCTATTTCATCCTATTTCAGTGCATAAACAACGGGTTGGCCATCGTGGCGGCCGAGTATCTGGAGGATATGGAGAAACGATGCCCACGACCGAGCATCCGGCTAGCTGTGAACCGTCTCCTCACCGATTCCGACATTGACGATGCATTCCGAATTCTTCAGCAATCTTCTAGGAAAGTTCTCTCCGAATCGTAGTTCTATCGAGTTGTTGGAGGGCATATAATTTAGAACATTCAACCAAATGATGAGCCATTTTGTTGAACCTCATTCAAGCACACACACACACAGACACCGAACACACAAATCTTCACGAAGTAAATAGTACTACTATCAATAAACTACAGACTACATGGTATGTACTGCTACCATACAGTTCAAAACCGACTTTTGTTACGGTAAGTTATACGTTTTAAAGTGCACAGATCATATTTAAGACCTCGGCAGAGTATTATAATCCAGTTCCTCCTCTTTCCAAATTTCCGTTCGCAATTGAGAACGCAAAAATACCCATAGATGTATGAGCACACGCGGATTGCTGTTATTTCCTCATCATAGGTAGAAGTAGATAAACTTTAAAATTTTAAGCTAAATTTTAAAAATGATGCCAATGGTAAACTAAATTCCACCCCTCAGAACTTTGTTGCAAATTGCTATTATTCGGATGAAAAGTAAATTTAAAACGAACTTGAATTGTGTTCAGTCAGTCTGCACCTGCGTTTTTTTTTTCGAGCACACGCACATTTTTCGTTACCGGGTAGCTTGAATTAGTAAGTTAAGAAAGATGTTACATTTACAATCATTGATATCACGTCGGTTTGTGGTGAAGTTTTGTAAAAGCACTATTTTTTTTGATGGATGATCCTTCTTTTAGATAATTGAATAAGTTCCAGTTATTGTCAACCAGGAAAGAAAAAGGTACATAGTACATATTACTAAATTTAACTTCTACCTACTGCAACATTATGTCGAGAAATTCCACAAAATACTATTAAATAATAAATTAAAGAAACAGATGCTTTAATTTGGGTGTATTGTACGTTTATCGAAAGAAAATCCTTTGAAATTAAGCGTGACTATACATCCCGGAATCAGCCTGCTTGCATAGCAGATTGAAACTCAAGAGTTTGGTTTTGTTTTGTTGTCTTTATTAAAGAGATTGTTCATCTCTAAACGCAAGAGTTCTTTCTGACTGAAACTTAACGCGTGCTCTCGCTTTTGTGCTCTTTGAGCACATACTACCTAGCCTACAGCAGTTGTTAGCTCGTGATTATTAGAACGAGCCACATTGGAAGTTGAATATAACAAAAATACACTGATTTTATTAAAACGAATGTTACGTGCGGTTGCAGCGTCACCCGTCGTTCAGGCGAGATTCCCGCTCCAGCCGGTGGAACTTTTCGCAACCCGGAAATTTCCCTACTGGTATACTGTATTGTTTGTTGTCTAGTGTTAAGTGTTCAGTCTGTGCAACCTCTGGTTGAAGACGGTGTCAATAGTCTTTAAGATACAAGTTTCTGCCGGTGGTTGGCTCAGTGCGTTCTTGTGTGTCCCGTGCACGATGCAGTCTGGTTGTGCAGTCGCTGTGGTTTGGTCATATGGGTGGTAGAGATGTACCGGTTGTGCAATAGGAGTGCGAAGTGTCTGACGTATTGGCAACCACTAGATTAATTCAACATGCGACGACCTGCCGTAATCTTTGAATATTATGGTTGATCAGCACTCGTAGGGAAAAGTGGGACTTCTAAGGGAATTTGAAAGAAAACGAGTGAAGAACACAAGTATCCGGTGGTCTGATCGCTAATTGAGCCAACGTAATGCCAATTCAGTGCAGGTTGACATATTTCCAATATTGTAATCAAAATTTGTATTATTATATATGCTTAGTAACAGTTTTGAAGCTGGGAGGATGTGGAACGCGGAGGTATCGCTTAGGGAAAGCAGAATATGGTTGGTAGCTTCCTAGTTTGGAATGGTTCAGATGAGCTAGGAGTGATAGTTTTACGCTTAGGAAGTGTTCTTTTTTGAGATTTTCTCTTATTTATTTTCATATGTTATCTCCTAGGGGCAAGACAGCTTTCAATCGTGAGTAACTTTTGAGCAAATCTTGAGTAACTCTGAGTGACTCGCGTTGCTCGATAATGAATATCGTTGTCAAAATGAAAATTTGTATCGTAGCAACTCAGTTCAACAGTTCTCTCTGTATTTACATATTTGTGGTTCTGATCAAGCAAAAATGAACAACAGAATAGTTCTTGATGATTTAGGAAGAAGAATGCGGGTTTTAATGAGGCTACAACTATAACACTATCCTTATCGTGACTATTGAATGTAATAATCATTTCTCTAAATCCATATTACAGTTGATGATGTTCGTTTGATCGATGTTGGAACATATGCATGGACCAACCACAACGTCCATTGGCACTTCAATCAGACTATTCAATAGGAGGTGTTTGTTTCGCATCAACTAACTAAGTACTCGCGACGGTTAAATAATACATAGCCCTTTATTTATGTCACCAAAACATGCAATAAAAGGTTTATTAAGCTTACCGTACCAGCACCATATTTGACGCGTCCCTAATGATGACGCACTCGTCTAATTTTTATCGCATCTCGATTTTGACAAGATATTTTTTTAAACTTTGTTACACCATCATCCCTAGAGCACAGGAACTAATATTTGCAGAAGTAACATTTCAAAAATAATGATTGAAAATAGTCGAACATTATTGAGTGCGTCGATTTAGGAACCGCTTCGAATATGGTGCCTCCACGGTATCACTAATTTGTATTTGACGAGATTGTAAGTAATCTGAAGGATGCCTCGCTGGATACGCCCAAGACTGGACGGGCAGCAGCTGGTGGCCGTGAACGGTTCCTGGGGGAAGCACTAGATGCGACCCTTCTCCCAGATGACCATGGCAATACAGGAAGTATTGGTATTGGAAGATAATTGTTATTAGATATTTTGCAAACAGTGACAGATAGCGGACATGAAGAACCAGTGGAGGTGCCGGGCAAAGGTGTTCATCCTAGACAAATAGTAAGTTACAAATACGCTGTTGTCGTTTTCGTAGGCGCCGTCGTAGTCGCTGTCGTAATCTCCGTCGTAGTCGTAGGCAGTACCGTTAGTATATTTAAAATTAACCACCAACCGCTGAAAATATGAATTATCGCGTATTTCTGTTGTTCATTACATGCCAAGTAAAATTCGAGAGCGTAATTTCATTTGAATAGCTTGTTCAACTAGGTCTTAAACAATCGTCACGTCGGTCATAGCTTGTTATGATTACCTGAACCATGCGCAAAGAGAAAATCGAAACATTTAACGTCGCGTGAAAATGGATCTTAATAAAGGCCTCTTTCGTAGCTTTTAGTTTAAGGATTTCAAAGATCGTCGGTTGCAGTGGCTTGCTTACTGAGCAGAAAAACGCGGTCCCAGATTATTTCATATTAAAACTGTATGGTTAGATCGCTTGTTTATCGTGTATTTTATAAAACTTTTCGTTGTCGTCGGTGTCGGGTCTGAATAGTCATAGAAACTTGAGTAACGCTATAATGTGATATGAGGGGCTCGGTGGCCTTAGCACAACCGGTTTTGCTTACTGAGCAGAACATCATGAGTCTAATCTCAAACCCATCCACATTCAAGATTCGTCAATCGTTTTATTTGTTAACATGACTACATGGTAATAACAGCAACTCGATGATTAAAAAGGAGCTCGTCTGCCTAGTGGCAAACGTTTTTGCTTACTGAGCAAAAGACCGTGGGTTCAATCCCAAGCTCCTTCGCGTTATATGATTGTTAGGACATCAATTCAGCTTATCGTTTACCAAAACGAACCCTGCTGCAAACCCAACCCAACCCTTTTACCCAACATCCCAGTGATTCCTCGTGGAAGTGCAAAGGTGTTCTCGGCTTCCATCAAAGCAAGTGTCACGTCAACACATTCCTACCCCTTCCTTTCTTGACCTGTGTTCGGGCGCGGCCGGCGCTGGTATTGCCTAGTTTGAGATCACCAGTTTTTACACATTTAGGATGATTGCTAGTCCCAAGCATCGTCTATTGGTTCTCTGTGTAATTACAGTTGGTCTGGCAATAACAGAGTAGCAACCGTGGGCGGTCAATCATGCTCATGCTCATGCTTATCACTAATTTGTATTTGACTTAAACTAGGAACACCGTAACGAATTAAAATGCCGTTGTGGTTCTCCTGCCCGTGCAAAACAGTGACCTGGTTGCAGCGGACTGATCATTGGACCCGCACGACCGTTTTAGGTAGTTCAGTCCTCCGTCGATGCGATGATTTTCTTCGGCTAGTGAGAGCTGGTGATATTCTCAATGCTCTTATCACTTATCTGGTTTGGTCATCCTCATCACTCCTGTGTAACCGGTGGCAATCGATGACGATGATGACACTAATGATGGCACTAGTACGTAGACCATCTAGTGTGAAGGCCGGCGCACAATAGATACGTTTTCAGGTTTTTTGACAGTTACCCTAATAAAAAATTACCATAAACGAACGATAACCCAAATGATTGAACTATTCCACAAATGGTTTGGATGATACCCAGAACACGTCGTTAAGCAAATTAACCATTACATTTTTATTAGGGTAGCCCATGCATTATCTGTCAAAAAACTCGAAAACGTATCTATTGTGCGCCGGCCTTTAGGGTCTTGATCAACCGAGCAGGTGTGTTGAACGATAACTGTGTGATGATGATCAACTCAAAGAAAAATAACTTACTTGCAATTAAAAAAAATCTGTTTATAATGGATGACGTAAGTGTGTGTGTATGACGTATATGACGTATGTTAAAATTAAAATTGAGGCTACTTAGTTATTTTTTGAGTAAATACGAGTAACTCACAGTTACTCAATGTAAATATATCAGCTCAAAAAATAGCTGACTTTACCCCTGGGGGCAAGACAGCTTTTGATCATGAGTAATATTAGAGTTAATTTTGAGCAACTCTGAGTAACTCGAGTTGCTCAACATGGGATGCACGGCAACACAGCAACCTTGTTGTGTTTATTCCCCAACTGTCAAAGAAAGATGTTCAACGGTGATAAATATTTCTAAAATCTGCAGCTTCCGATTGTCGAAAGGTGAATCCTGATGAATGTGGGCGTCTTAGTGGAATAGCTATATAAATAAAGAGAGAAAATGGTGGTTTACACTGGATAACCATCCATAGATAGATCCCATGACCTTCGTACTGCTTCGTGCCAATCCTTTGTTAGTCGTTTTCTTCCGAATCTAGTGCAGGCTGTTATCGGTCGACGTTGACCATCGCATTTGCAGATTCAAAATATGATAAATTTGTAGAAGTACATTTGGTTAAATTAAACACAGTTTGAATCTTCGA